GACCATGATCAGCAGAGTAAACAAATAAAAAAATTTTTGACTAAAAAGTGGATTTCCCCTTTTTCTACTGACCGCCCGATAGACGGCACGCACTTTGAATTTTTTGTATTTTAATAATCAAAATTTGTAATTACAGTAAAATAATAATAGATTTTAAATAAAGTAATTTGATGAAATTATAAAATAAAATTTTGTGATTATCACAAAATTTTGTGGCATTTGTGATATTTTGCGAAACGCCATAAATCATCGTCCCATACAGAAAAAATTTTATTATTATTATTAATGTTATTATTGTTATGACGCATTTACTAAGAGAAATTCTTGACCTTCTTCGCTATCCTGGTAAGTTACTATGATTCTCTTGTTCTGTGTAATCTATTCTATATATCAAATATATTTAATTTTACTAGCTGATATTTATATTTACGATTTATCAAAAACTCGTTAGATTATTGGGATAGGAATCCTGATTTATGGGGCGATGTGCAAAATTGGAATGTATTTTATATAAACAAGGTTCCTGACAGTACACCGCAAAGTTCTCATTCTGCACTTTCAAGCGAGCTTGACATACTTTTAAAAAGGCTTCCAAGTAAGAGTAAAAAATATGCGAATGCAAATTCTATTCGTAAAAGTCTTCGGGTCAGTTTTTTTTTCCCTTCATATCCACCAACAGAGTGACACTTTGCTATGCCCAGGACTGAGGTCTCATAAACAGATTTTCTGCGGTTATCTGGATGGGAAGAAGAGTGTCATGAGTATGGATTCCTTCATGACACGCATTTGTCATACTGTTGGTGGAGCCCAACTACACCCTGCAACTGCGGTTGAGTGACTTTGTCATAATAGGGTCTGCGGTTCGCCCGAAAGTGGGGAGTATGTGTGGTATAGAGATCCTTGTATTAAAGATTGCACTCAATCTTTGGATCATATCACATTATACGCAGTTGGGATTATATTATCCTTTTTTGTGAACATGCAATTCTTCTAACGTATAAATTTTTTTTATTAAAAGAAATATAAAATGACACCTACACTTTGGAAATTCACACAAGAACTAGCTAGTTTGAACAAAATTAATGATATAGACAAGGTATTGTTATGCGTATTTACTATAATTCTTTTGATTTTGATATTCACTAGCTTTCTTTTTTTATCTAGGAAAAAATCAAGTGCATTTCAATACATGCGAGATATCTGATAACAAAGTAAGTATATATTTTACAGATTTATTGTCCTTTATATAATCTTGCTAAATGTTTTTAATACCATTTTATTATACTACAGTCCGATGGCTCAGAAACAAAGAAGCATCCTTTAGGACAAGATGAAGAATTGACATCAATTAAGAGAAGACAAATGGATGTGGAGTCACCTAATGTTGTGAGCATACTCCAAAGATTTACATAATTGATTACAAATTGATCATTTAACTGTCTTAACACCCTTTTCTAATACTTTTAGGATATAAAGTCAGTAACTAAAAATAGATGTGTTAAAGTGGAATTTTAAAGAAGATCTGAAGCCTGCAAGAGTGGTATATGTCACATTCTTTCTAATTTTTTTTTTATTAAATCATTAACTAATAAAAATAATAACTATGTGTGCAGGAATGAATCATTGATGAAATAAGCATAAGTGAATCATTTTTCAGTTTAAAAGAGCATGCTATATCTATGGCAAATGAACATAAACTTACCTATTCAAACCATCCGGGTGAAATGCTGTCAGTTTTACTTGTTTATCTATTATGAAGTGTCACATAATGTTAGGATTAGTACTTTACTTATTTAAGATTTTATATAATGTTTAGGGCATTGAACTCCATACTTCTCTTGGAAGAGAATTCTATTCGTGCAAAGTTGAACATTCCTTCAGACATTCGGAGAAAGGTCTTCAAACAAATGAAGGATATGTACTCAAAACATGATCTACCAAATGTAGTTAGTGAATTATGTCATCAGTGTGCAAAAATTGCAAGAGAAGAAACTCGAATGAATTTAGAAGATTCTATTGAAGTTGTTTATGATAATTTAAAGAAAAATTCTATTGATAAGCATTTGCTCAGGACTTGCCAGAAAGTTTGGGGACATGTGTAAGTATACTCCTTGTTTTCTATTTGAACATATATTTCTCAAATTAAATACTCAAATACATCAAATTTAATAGTGTGGAAAATTTGCGTACAACTTTTGATGACCCATTAACAATCGAAGATACTTATGTACACCATCTGATACATCCTATCTTGCGACCATTTTTCCCAGATGAGCCAGGGAAAACAATTAATTGGTAATTTCTATGGATTTTTAATTGTCAATTTAATTATTTATCCTTATAGATCCAATTCGTTCTCAACAAATTAATCTTTCACTAATCCCCGATTAGTCTTGGGTATTTAGTTCTCGCTGCCCCTGTCAGGCTGAAATTATTATTATATTAATTAATTAATTGTTACGGAAATTACCCGAATAGTCGTCTGGACGAATTTATTATTTATTCAATTAATTACTATTAAAATTATGCAGAGTTTTTGTTATAACTTGTATTTTTTTATTATTAATTATGATCGTGACCAGTAAAGACTAAAATATATCATCCTAAAATATCTCTCTAAAACAATACCATCCCATCCCCCAAAAAACTTTGAAAATGGAACCCTTTCTATATTACATTCAGATCAAAAAAAATTACTAATACATTCTACAAGTTAAAACGAAATAATCTATCGTCCATTATTGTATAAGAATTAAATAAAATGATAATTTGAAACCTTAGTTAGTCGATAAATACCAACATTTTGTGTTAATTACTGTCTACGACCAACTTAGGTTCATAAATAAATGATAATAATAGCAAATAAAATAAATAGATAAAATTAATTAAATAATTAAAAAAAAAATAAACGTTCGCACATGTCACGGAGGGTCTCGCGTAAAAATTATGATAATCTTCAGTAAATCACATGTTCTGTATAACATCATAATTTTACTCACAGTAGTAGACCTAATGTAAATGAGTCTCATATTAATTATTTTTGTCTAGATAAATATCATTGATCCTTGAAATCCTTAGTAATACCAATGTTCACTTTGTCTGGTTTTGCCCCAAATAAAACATATTGATTTTATATGCTTATTTAACCAAATTGATACCAAATTAAAGCCAATTTTAGGTTGATTTATAGTTATTTAAGTTCTGAATTAATGCTGAATAATACTAAATTGAGTCAAATTTATGGTTATTTAAGTTTCGAATTGATGCCAATAATGCTGAATTGAGGTCAATTTTAGACCAATTTATGGTTGTTTAAGTTCTGACTTGATGCCGAATTGATGTTGAATTGAGATCAATTTTAGGCTAATTTATAGTTGTTTAAGTTCTGAATTAATGCCGAATGATATTGAATTAAAATCAATCTTAAGCTGATTTATGATTAAATTTAAGTTCTGAATTGATTCTGAATGGCTATAACTGATTGGAGTTGATTAGCATATATTGGCACCTATTTATGCTATTTAGAAAAATGATAAATTAGCTATAAATAGTATTAAAATTAGCCTAAAATCAGCTATCTGATTTCTAGCTGATTTGAACTATTTTGGCCAGTATCTTGATCTATCGATTTTATTGCAAATTCATTATAAAATTTCTCTATAATTACAATTCTTTTAAACCCCTATCAAATTTATAATGATTTTATATATTATTACTTATTATCACATTTCTTTTAAAATTTTCATTATAATTTGTAATAATTTTACTTATTTTCACATTTATTTTTAAAATTCCATCATAATTTATAATATTTTGCATTCTCATCTTAATCTATTATATTATTATATTCCTATCTTTATTTATCATATTTTCACAATAAAATAAGAATACCCAACAACTATGCTTCTAGATGAAATGTCAAATATTAACCTTTTATAAACCACATTAAAATAGTTAATCAACTATATTGAAGTTCATAATGTTAAAAAGATCTAGGCAGTTGGCATTAGAAATATATTAAAAACTAAATATTTTATCTTCTTATTATAAAATTACAGATATATACAGTTAACTCTTTCTACAACGAATTTTGATATAACGAATTTTACAATACAACGGATTTTCATTGTCAGACAGATTTTTAAAT